GGGGGGGGGGTTGAACTACAGCATAAGCAAATACAGATTTCAATGCATTTTGTTCCCATCAACGGGGAATACCTTTATCTTTTCTTTTCTTATTTTTTTTAGGCTCTGGGAATGTGAATTTAGTAAGCTGCAATTAAATATTGTAGTGCAAAATTGCAGCACAAAATTGCAGTGAAAAGGGCCACACCCATCCATATTTATTGTTTGTAGTAAATAAGAGACAGACCTCCTGCTCTTGCCTATCTCCCTTACCCTACAAAGAAATCAGCAAGCTTAAGAAGATTTACCCATTGTTGGTGGCAATGATAATGATAATAACAATAAAAATTCTACACCATAAACATAGTTACAAATGTGTAACTACATATCATCTTCTGACCTGATTCCCCAAAGCTCCCTTAGCAGCAACACCAAGTTATGGAGGTTTATTCTACTGGTAATCAGGGTGCTGCAGGATGATGTTTTCAGCCTTCTCCTACTAGCAAACTGTGTTACAATCAGGAGTTACAACAGAGGTCTTGCTTCTGTTTGTCACACTGCAGATTGCTGGTGAGAGAGGGCAGAAATGTCATCCTGCAGCACCCTGATCACCTGCAGAACAGACTTCCAGTGCTAAGTTCAGCTGCTGGCTGTTGAGGCATATTTGGGGAGCATTTGTGATTATGGCAACAATTCCATGATTGTAAATATGAATATCAAATAGGAATACTGTAATGCTTTTAAAGATCAATCCAGCATGGCACAGTGGTTTGAGCGTGTTGGACTACAACTCTAGAGACCAGAGTTTGATTCCCAGCTTGGTCATGCAACCCACTGGGTGACCTTGGGTAAGTCACATGCTCTTAGTCTTAGGGGAAGGCAATGGCAAACCTCCTCAGAACAAATCTTGCCAAGAAAACCCCATGGCCTTAGGGTTGCCATGTCAGAAATGACTTGAAGGCACATAACAACAACAATGCTTTTAGAGTACAAGGATTTTGCTTTTTAGGTAATGGAACAGTGTACTGCTGAGGAATAAGAAAATCATCCCCCATGTGTTACCTGAAATAATTAATTCAAGACTGTGAATTCAAGACTGTATAAGAATTATATCTGAAATCCATCATTTACAGTGGCAGGAAAGCTGGCATCAGCCTCCTCTTGTGTTAAATTGCTCTTTGGATTCTGTTGAGATGAAGGGAAGTAGAGAATGGGATTGAGCTGAAAACTATAGATAACTATATTTTTTTCCTGTGAGATCACTATGTCAGCTGGACAGACAGGAAATGAAAGGCCAGGCAAAACATCATGGCCATGGGAATCTTATCACTTAATTTACAGACAGACTGGAGTCCCCCCGCTCTTGCCAGACCAACCCCAGAGACAGTACATAGTAGCTGTGTTGGCAGAATAAATGTCTGTGTTCCTACACTGCCTTTGCTTTAAAATGTTAATAGTCTGCAGAAGGGAGAGGAAAGCTAAATAAACTGAAATGACACTTCAAGCTCCCAGTTTCTGAGGGTGAACTTTCCCTTAGACTGAATACACAGAGTCTGCATCCAGCATCTGCAACTAACACTTGCAAAACGTGCTAGCAGAAATCACCCTTTGTACCCAGGGACCCCAAGCCAAGGCTCCTCCTCCACAGTTATCCTAAGCAAGGAACTGAAAAGTTGCTTGCCTGCCTGCTTGCAGCAGCAGCAACTGAGAGACCTCATTTGAATGGATGAAAGATGCCTGAAGATCTGAACGTTGGGCTCATGATATTGGAATAACAGGTCTCTTCTCTTCTCTTTTTACTTTCTTTCCTTCCATTGTGAAAAGAGAGAAGAAAACAACTGGTCAGTAAGAAGAGAGTAGAAGTGAAGAGAAGAGAAATGTTGGCACAAGAAAAGGATTAAGTGAAAATATATTTTTTCTTTTTTCAGAATAGATCTTCATCATAAATGGATCCATCTAATGATTCATTTAGGGAAAGACTAAGTAAAACTTAAGCAGTCAAAAAGGTCTGTTTATGTTAGCATAAATTTGCCTTTTCCTGCAAGTTACATATTTGCTTGCCTTTGTTTTGTGATTGATCAATAGAAGGTAAATATGGCCTTTCTTCACATGAAGAGTTATGCAATTATGGGACTTCCAAGGAATTGCATGGCTGAATGGGAAATATTATGAAAACTGAATATGTGTGTTTTCATTAGTTCCTTAGACATGCAAGCATTTTTTATGATGCAGTCATGGACAGAAACAGATGTGATGCCCTTCCATGGAAACACTTCATGTTCATCCTGCCATGTATGAATGCTGACATCTATATCTGCTGGCCCATTCATACACTGTGTGAGTACATTCACAGCATACCCATCCAGGCCACCAGTTGCTGGCATGTGAAGAGTACATCAGAAAGGGCTGTTACATGTGATAAGAATGTTTAAACATAAATGAGTGTGTGTGAAATGTTTACTCTGTTAAGTGCTTTATCCATGGCCCATGTCACACCTGCCTGAGACATGTGAAAAAAGACCCTTGCTTCCATACATTCTTAATTGTTGCATTGCCTTTTGGCAAAGGAAAAAAAAACACACAGAACCATATTCACCTTCAAACAATGCACAGCTGTAAATGTATACATTTGAAAAATGTACACATATAAAGTTCAGTCAATATGAAAAATACATAATACATTGGGGAAAGGCGTACCAAAATGCACTAGGGGTGTAACTTTTGCTTGTTTCATTGCTGCAAGCAAGAATGAAGAATTTCAGAACTCTTCTCCACACTGGTTGAGATTATGCATATTTTTGGAAGATATTCACTTATTTATTTGCAATACTGCACAAAATATTGTTTCTGAAATATTTTTGGATTCCCCCCCCAAAAGTTTTCATGCACTCAAAATTTTCATGAGAAGCCCCAAAATCTTTTGAACATTTACACAAAGCATTGGGGGAATTTTTAATTTGCAAAATATTTGTGCAGGGTTTTTTTTTCCAGAAATGGGAAAGGTTTTAGCACTTGTTCAGATCAAATGTCCTTTTATATATTAAATTTGAAATTTCTGCCTGTCCCTCTACCACAGGGATGGGTAACTGCAATGAGGAAGGGGGGATTTTTCACTCTCATATAGGGGGGTTGCAGACTACCAGAAATAGTGCAAATTGAGTCCACTTTTAGGGTTAGGGTTAGGGTTAGGGAATCATGGGAACTGTAGTTTATTGTGGCACCAGAGCTCTCTGACAGAGAAGGCTCAATGTCTCAGAAAAAAACCAATTCCCATGATTCCCTAGCACTAATCCTAACCCTAAAAGTGGACTCAATTTGCACTATTTCTGGCAGTCTGCAACCCCCCATAATCTGCAAAGGCTGCACAAGTACTCTGGATGGAACCAAAAGTGATGCCACATCACTTCCAGTTGCACTTTTGGATGATTTTTGGCCATTTGGTGGGAAGGGTTAAAACATTTTGAGAATGCTAGTGCCATGAGGTGGTTTTAAGCTGCTTTTGTCTTGTTTGGACCAAGCCCCCCATTAGTTTTTCTTTAGAATTTTTGTGGGGTCTGAGGTCTTCAAGGGCTGAAAAATGGGTTCCCAGAGCCACATGCTCTGATCTCTTCCTGTGTCTGTCTGCCTCACATTTGTTCTTGATTCTTCATGGGTCTATTTAGGCAGCTGATCCCTCCCTCCTTCTTTCTACACACACATTTTTATTTTGCCTGGCCTTCTGACAGCAGTCAGAGATGGGGTAGCACGGAATTCCTTTAATGCTACTGCTTGGGCCTTTAGCAGCAAAGAGCTTAGCAAAAGAGCAGGGGCTTGCTAATGAAGCAGTAGCAGTCCCAATATTGTTGTAAGTCTCTGATGTTGAGAAGCCAATTCTGGACCTGTCTGGATATATTTAGACCTCTATTCGCTATCTTCAGGGAACAGCCTATGCAGAACTTCCTTTCTTTTGGAAAAGGTACAGTCTGAAAATAAGGAAAAGTGATTTCAGATGTCATATTAAACCATGTCTACCAACCTCTGTCCCTCATCCCAAAAGCACACTTTTGCTTTAAAAAAAAAGAAAGAAAAGAAAAAGGAACAATATTTGTAATCTATTCCCTCCCTCCATCCTCTCTCTCTCAGTGAATAAATGTGTGTATTTAAAAATAAAACATACCCCAGTCAAACGTTTTACCATGACCTTACCATATTTGAAAAGAGTGAAAATTGGCAGACAAATTTTCATCTCACAGCCACATCGTCTTTTGAGCAGCCATGCAGTCGTTGAAATGACGCCAATCTTTCCATTATTATAACTGCTCTCTCTCAATTTCAAGGGGTTGCAGGCTTGGCTGCAATTTTTTTTCTGCTCCAGACTGAAGACTTGGCATAGAAAGGTCCCATCCCAGGTGACATTTTTGAAAGAGAAAAAAATTGTGAGCCAGATTCTGGTGGATTGTTTTATTTTGATTTTTAACTGTGTGACTGAGTGATACATCTTTTCAGGTTTATTTTATCAGATTGTATATGATTTCACTATTAGGATCCTCCTCTGTCTCATCATTAGTGGGAGGATTAACAGCAAATGCATTAGGCAATGGGGTTGAGATGGGGGTTGGGGTCTACGCAGCAGCTTCTTTCTTTAGCACATCAGAGGAGCCTTCTGAAGCTTTTGAAAAGCTTTAGAAGGATCCTTCCCCCTCAAGCCCTTTACCTAGTACAGTGATTCCCAAACTTTGGTGAACCAGATGTTTCTCACATCAGCTTCCAGAATTCCTAACTGTAGGCCAAGCTGGCTGGGGTTTCTGGGAGCTGAAGTCCAAAATAGCTGGAGAACCAAAGTTTGGGAACCAACTGGCGTGACACATTTTCTGATCCCCTCCAAGATATATACCCCAGATTTGAAGTCTACTCAGCAGCTTGTTCCTGCTGCACACTGGAGGAGCCTTCTAAAGCTTTTCCCAGGACCAACAAGCAAAACTCATTCCCATAGGATGGGGTGTGTTTCTTGCAGGGGAACAGCAAACGTGCTAGGGAAAGGACTTGAGGTGGGGGTCTACAGGAAGTGGGGGCTTCTTGTTCGGCCAGTGTAAAGTACTGCTTCCATCATGTTAATGTTAGACAAAAAGCAGTGAGGTGGAAGCATTGCTTAAAGGAGGAAAATTGTTTTCCATTTGGTAATGTTTCTGGTCACTAAAAATATACAAGTCGTGAATCAAGTTGAATCACTGTGTAATTTATTGCTGAGTCAAGTATATGTCATGGAGGTGACCTGAGTCTGAGTCAACTGACTTGAGTTTATGTTACTGGAAGCTAGTTTTTACATTATTATGTGTAATAATAAAATACAATGTGTGTCTGTTTGCCTGTGGCAGCCATAACTCATTAGGACATTGTGCTTCATCCTTCAAAATTTGGGATAATATTTTTGGTCATAATTCAAGTTTAACTGCCAGTTTTGAAGTCAAAATTCCAAATTGGGTAGTGGCTCTCAGTAAAGAACAACAAAACAAAACAAAAAAGACCTCTTGTTATAACTCTTCAGAAAATCAGGGTAGAAATCTCAAATTTTGACAAAGTGTTTTTGTTGTCATCTAAGCAGGAATGTCCAGTTTCAAGATGAAAAAAAAAATCAAATTTCCAAAAGAAGAAGCTGCAATAATTTATTGGGATATCATTGTGGATCCCTCAAAATTTGACAGAGCATCTTTTGCTGTTACCCAGTTTAAGGCAGTCAGTTTTAAGTTAGAATTCCAAATGGAAATCTTCTTGGAAACAAGCAAACAAACAAACAACAAACAGGAAAGCTCCCATACTTCACCAGGAAATAATTTAAAAGGGGGCT